TAAGAGGAATTTATAGATTGGTATCGGACATATGGGCTAATATCGGACTTATGGACTTGATCTGGACTGGGCTGGGATGTTTTCTCAATATTCAATTACTCTTTGATATAAAGCTCGCTCTTATACACATATGAGTGTCTATGAATTTGTTTTTGTAGTCCACCCAGATGAACACACTTGTTTTAACTTGTAATTCCCTAATGACACATGAAGGAGCCTTGGTGTGTGAAATTTGGGGCTGCTACCTGCAAGGTAGACGGTTCAAACTCACCAATCTCTCTAAGAGAGAAAGATAAGGCTATTTGCTTTCATGAAGATTGAGTCTCAGAAACCATAGAGTTTCTGTCCTATAGGGTTGATATGAGTCTGAATCCACTTGGTGGCAGTGGGTTTGGTTTTTTGGAATGACATATTACTGTTCATTTTTTCGTATGCTTATTCATATGCTTCCGTATGCCATTAATGTGTGTGTATTTGGTGAGATATCTGTTCAGATATTTTGCCAATTTTTAAAGTGAGATGTTAGTTTTCTTACTGTTGAGTCTTAAAAATCTCCAGTTCAAACCTACCAGCTGCTCCACAGTATAAAACTGAGGCCATCTAGTCCTGTAAAGATTGAACGTCTTAGAAACCCTACACTCAGCCACTGCCATCGAGTCAATTCTAACTCATACAACCCTGTAGGACAGGCCCTGTGCATTTCCAAGACTGCACCTTCAGGGGAGTAAAAACCCCTGGCTTTCTCCTGTGGAGATGCTGATGGTTTTGAACTGCTGACCTTGCAGTTGGCAACCCAACATGTAACCACTACACCACTATGGCTCCTCTGTAGGGTGACTTTGAGGTGGATTCGATTTGATAGCAGTGGGGTTTGTATGTCTTGATGTGTTCTGCAAAGATTTTCACTCAGTCTGTAGCTTGTTTTACATTCAAGTCTACAAACCCTTTTAAGTTAATGTTTTTTAAAGCCTATGTTCTATGTCTAGATTCCTTTTCTTTTAGAGCATGTACCTGCCCAGTGGTTCTAGCACACTTTTTTGGAGACCATCCTTTCTTCATTGGATGCCTTTGCTCCTTTGTCAAAGATTAGTTGACTGTATGTGCATGGGCTCTCTACTTTCACTAGCAGTACACTATCTTGCTTACTGTAGCTCAACAGGTCTGGAAGTCACTGAATTTTGTTCTTCAATAGTGTGTTTGATATTCTAGTTCTTCTGACTCATATAAACTTTAGAATCAGGTTTTCAATAGTTACACAAAAAATTGCTGATATTTTCATTGGGATTACATTGAATCTATAAAGCAAGATGTAGAAAGCAGACATCTTTCTCATTTATATCTTGATTTATTTTATCATTTTCTTCATACATCTATGTATCATATACATATTTTGTTAAATGTACACCTAGGCATTCCTCTTTTGTGGGGCCAATGCAAATGAGATTGTATCGTATCATATTCCAATGACTCATTGCCACGTATAGAAAATCAATTACTTTCAAAAATTAATCCTGTATCCTGAGACCTTGCTAAACTAATTTATTAGTTCCAGGACAGCTTTGTTTATTCTTGGAAACTTTGTACATAAGAAACCATGTCTGTGAGCAAAGACAATTTTATTTTTCCCTTCTTAATCTAAATGCTGAATAGGTGATGAGAGAGGGCATTCTTGCCTTGTTCCTGATAATAGAGGAAAAGCCATCTAGCTTTTTATCATAGAGCATGATTTCAGTGATAGATTTTTGTACATGTTCTTTATCCAGTTGAAGATATTTCCCTCTATACCTAGTATTTTTAGAATTTTTATCATAAATGTGGTTGAATTTATGCAATGCTTTTTGTGCACCCATAGATATGGTTTACTTCTTCGTTAGTCTACGTGATTACATTAATTAAATGATCACATGATTTGAATGCTGAACCAGTCTTGCTTACTTAGAATAATCCTCCCTTGATCGTGATGTATACTTGTGATGGATTTGACTTACTAATATTTTGTTGAATTAAAGAAATGAACTTTGTGTTGGCCTTGACATTGCAAATCATAGTATAATTCCTGTTAACCAGATTTTCACATAAAAATTATAATCCAGGGAGAGGTGACTAATAGGATGGTGACATGAGGGGTTCACAGACCCACTCCCTAGTAAAATAACCACAACTGTTGAAAAAAAATCATTTTAAGTATCTAGAAATTGTCAACTGATCTTTAACAAAGAAGCAATGACAATTCGGTCAGGAAACAATAGTGTATTTAACAAATCATGCTGGGACCACTGAATATCCACAATGTACACGCAAAAACAAGCACGTAAATCTAGACACAGATCTTAGCAGCACAAAGTCAGTAGTGACATAGCTGAATTGAATCGCACCATCAATCAACTGGATCTGACACTTAAATAATACTTCATCCGAGCACAGTAAATAGATATTCGTCTAAAGTGCAGAATGTTCTCTAAGATAGACCACATTCAGGAATATAAAACACAACTTAAAAAGAAATTGACTAGATATTGCACAAAGTATATTATCAAATCACAATGGAATTAAACTAGAAATCAGTAAGACAAGAACCCCCCAAACAGCTTCTACCTTAGCAAATTTTATAAAGAAAATTAAATACAAAGTAAGTTGAAGAAATGGAATAAGAAAAATTAGAGCAGAAATTATTGAAATTTCAAACAGGAAAACAGCAGTGAACATCTTCTTTCCCCAATTTCTGCCCTACTTCTGGAAGGTCCACTTAATTTTTTTTATCCCTTTCTGAAATATATGTGCTAAATCTTTCAAGACTGGCTACTGTAACACCTGTCTCAACCACATCTCTTGGAACCTATAGGCTTAAATCTATGTCATGTACCTTCACAGAATCTTCAATCTCATCACTCCTGTTCCCTGGGTGTAACGGGTATCATCTGCTTCTTCACCATCATTATCAACCAGTTCAAGACAAAATTCAATCACTGGGGTTTTCACTGCTTTGAAGTCTGCTTTTCTTCTTTCTAAATCTTGCTCAAATTTATCAATCTTTTCTTGTTTTTCCCTTTTTTCACATGCAAGAAAAGATTCTAGAGTGATTTTGGTAACATTTGGACCTAGGGCAGAACATTCTCTTTGAATGAGACCTTCTAATGAAACTTCATCTTCTTTCTTTTATTCTTTTTTCAGCATAAATCCAGGAGGAGGTACTTGATGCGATTTATACACATATCACCTGCTCCAGGGCATACCACACACTCACCATACTTGTTATTTTCAATAGCTTCAAGGAAATGTTTGCACACTATGGAATTTTTGGTTTTTTCTTTTCTGCCTCACCATGCTTCTTGTTCACCATTTTTTCCAGTTTTTTCTCATTTAAATTATTCATGCTACCTTTTCAAATTCTGCATCTCTTGCATCAATGTAAACACTTCGCTGTTCACATTTTCTCTCGAGTCCAGTCATGAGAGAACTTATACTCCTCTCCTTTAGTGGCCTGCCCTTGCTTGAAGAAAGCACATGCCACAGATCTGCAAGTCTGAACAGTTCATTTCGCTCCTGTGCTTCTTTCTTCTTGTCATCTCCAATTTCTTTTCAGCCCTACAGTGTGCTACCTGATGTGGATTCTGTTGACCACATTTAACGTGTTGAGTAACAGCGTTGATAAACTTCTGTTGCTTTGCTCCTTTCATATTCTTTAGACCCAAAGCTTGTCTTTGATGATCTTCTCTTTCTTCTGCTCCATATGTTTGCTGCCCCTGGCCTGTGCCTGTTTCTTGGGGGCATTGTGGAGACAGGTGGCACCGGCCAGATTCCAGCACCACTGGACATTGTCAGGGGCTCTGGGCCCACAGCAGGAGAAGGAGGAAGACCTGGGCCTCTGTCACTGCCGCACCAGGCGGAAGACCCAATCCTTGTTCTTTACATAAGTAATTCAGTGGTTCTCAAGTGTTTCTACATTGTAGCACACACAGAAGGTACTATCTGTGACCCACACTAGGTGAAGATGAAGGCTGTTCATGACAGGATGCTGCTGCAGGACAGGCTGGCCCCACTTCCCTGAAGGGTGAGAGGAGCAATTGTATCCCCAAGGAGCTAACACATTTTATAGAATTGTCTATTAGCAGGAATCTCTCACTTAGTACTGTTTGAAAATAAAAAGCGATTAATATGTAAATGATGCTTAAGCATCATTTGTGCTTTCAAAATTTATGATATATAAATGGCAAGGAATACAATAATCTTAGAAAGAGTAACAAGGATGGTTAATAAAGTTCATACCAGTATGATTGTAGACAACATCAGTAATACAAAGTACATTCCATTCCTTTTTCAATTTTTCCACTAGCTGTCCAACATCATCCCAGGTATATTTTTTATTTGGTCTTGAAAAGTCAGGATTTAATTCTAACTGATCCGATAGAGAGTAGCATGATCGAGACAGTCCAAGAGTCTGCAGCGGGGTAAAATGGAGCATGTTGTAACCTGAAAAGGAAAGAAAACACACAAAGACCACTATAAGAAAAAAACTAAGTAAAACATACATTTATACTTTCTTACATAATTCTTAAGCAGTGAGACAATCATAGTCCAGGAAAAGGAGTCCAAGTTCAACCCTAGCTGGACCACAATGACTTAAAAGAAGTCTACGTAAATCTTTCAGGCCATCAGCATCCTTCAATAAATGGTAGGGATAAGAAAACAGATGTGAAAATGTCACAATGCTTAGTTTGTATTACATGTCTGGTAGGGATAAGAAAATAGATGTGAAAATGTCACAATGCTTAGTTTGTATTACATGTCCAATTCATATTTGTTGAATTTACATATAGAAAATATGTCCTATGCAAATACATTAACATGTCTTTCCCACTTTTGAATATTTCACACTACTTGGGTCCTGTTTTGCAGTTATGTTAGTCAATTTTTCATTCCTCTCTTCACACTACTATACATTCAACTCAAAAGAAGGAATTCAATACTCTCAACTAGAGAAAATATAAAACAAGTTGCATTAGTTATGGTCTACATGGCCACAAGGAGCCCTGGCGATACTGTCTGATAAGCACTGGACTGCTAACTGTATGGCAAACGATCCAAACCTGCTGCTCCGTGGGAGAAAATTGAACTTATTTGCTCCTAATAAGATTTACAGCCCCAGAAACCCTATATAGTGCTGCTGTGAGTTGGAATCAACTTAGTGGCATTGTCTGTTCTTGTTGTTTGTTTATACATGATAACATACCTACTAAATGGAGGTGTTTGCTGAATTTAAATGACATAGAATAGATTTTCCAACACATTTTAGTAGTTGCCTAATTTTTATGTTTCAAAGTCAAGTCTTAGAAAAAATAACGATCTATTTTATCATGGAGTTCCTTAGTCGTACCACATATTCTGTCATTTTTGAAGGCTAAAAAGGTCAAGTATCAGCAATTTCCTTTGGTTCAATCTATACATATTGCTAAATTTTCTAGAGGAAAATTAGAGGATCAAAGTCTTTCAGATCAATATTACAGAGGATAATTACACTTATTTTTATAAAGGAAGAAAGCTTGTATTACCTGATTCTTTAGCAACCCTAAGTCTGCTTTCCCATTCATCAAAGGGTCCCAAACACTTGGCTAAAACTGTCTGTAGAGTCACACAGTCCAGAGGTAATATGTGGTTATCAGCACCGACACGCAGAACAGGATCCACAACTATATAACCTCCACCACTCTTCTCATTTCTAAGGAAAAACAGCGTTTTTCAGTTTGTGATGGGGGTAGAGTTTTGGGGGTGGATTTCTTATCCAACAGTCTCAGTCTGTAATGGAACAATTGATTGTCCCATTAAAAATATACATTTATTTCTAATCATATTAAATCATTTTTATTTTTTTCCCTAATTAAAAAAATCATTTTATCGGGGGCTCTTACAGCTCTTATAACAATCCAGACATCCATTGTGTCAAGCACATTTGTACATATGTTGCCATCAGCCTTTTCAGAACATTTTCTTTCTACTTGAGCCCTTGGTATTAGCTCCTCAGTTTTTCCTCCCTTGCCCACCCTCTAAATCCCTTTTAATAGGTTGTAACAAAACCTTTGCCCTTCCTAATCTCTACTTAATTACTTAACACAATATATGCAATATCCAATAATGTTCATTTGAAAAAATAAATGCCTTGAAGTCTAGCGGGAATAACAAACAGGGCACTTAAATAAATAGCATACAATTGGTTTGCAACCATAGACTGTTGTTACTTAAAAAATATTTACATTAATACTCTGACTTTGTAGTATGCTATATAATTATCTCCTAGGATATTTAATAAAGTATTTATTGAAACTGAAGAATCATATTCTATTTGTATGTCAAGTTAGTCCTGTAGATACTGCATGGTCATGGCTCATCCAGTAATTCTTTACACATTATGTAAAAAACTTCATGTTTTAGAATAGAGAAACTTTATGATTTTTTTAAGTATGTAGAAGATATGACTTACCCTTGGAGGAAGTAATACTGAAATGATCCAGACTGTTGAAGAATAAGTTTACAGTATTTATCAGAATCGTCTTCTTTTTCTGTTGGATTTTCCCATTCTAGGGAGCGGAATTTTTCTCGATTGAATGTTTCTCCAGGAAAAGGGTAATTTGTATATACAGTAACTGCTTTTCCTTGTAAAGTTGGGCCTAATCGGAATTGTAGTTCAAATCCTAAATGAAAAGCATGTTTTAGTAACTTACTATCATATAGGAATTTAAAAAAATCATTTTATTGGGAGCTCGTACAACTCTTATCATAATCCATACATACATCCATTGTGTCAAGCACATTTGTACATTTGTTGTCATCATCAGTCTCAAAACATTTGCTTTCTACTTGAGCCCTTGGTATCAGCTCATTTCCCCCCCTCCCTCGCTGCTCCCCTCTCCCTCATGAACCTTTGATAATTTATAAATTATTTTGTCATATCTTACACTGTCCGATGTCTCCCTTCACCCACTTTTGTTGTCCATCCCCCAGGAAGTAGGTTATATGTAGATCCTTGTAATCAGTTCCCCCTTTGTACCCCACCTTCCCTCCACCCTGCCGGTATCAACACTCTCACCACTGGTCCTGAAGGGATCATCTATCCTGGATTCCCTGTGTTTCCAGTTCCTATATGTACCAGTGTATATGCTCTGGTCTAGCCAGATTTGTAAGGTAGAATTGGGATCATGATGAGGTGGGGTGGGTGTCGGAAGCATTTAGGAACTAGAGGAAAGTTGTATATTTCATCATTGCTACACTGCACCCTGACTGGCTTGTCTCCTCCCCGTGACCCTTCTGTAAGGGGATGTCCAGTTGCCTAAAGATGGGCTTTGGGTCCCAAATCTGCACTCCTCCTCATTCAAAATGATAGGATTTTTTTGTTCTGGGTCTTTGATGCCTGATACTTGATCCTTTCGACACCTTGTGATCACACAGGCTGGTGTGCTTCTTCCATGTGGGCTTTGTTGCTTCTGAGCTAGATGGCCACTTGTTTACCTTCAAGCCTTTAAGACCTCAGATGCTATATCTTTTGATAGCCATGCACCATCAGCTTTCTTCACCACATTTGCTATCAAGTAGGAATTTTAACTTATTTTCAAAACTTTAATTTTTCAACTATTTAAAATAACACCAAATATCTAATATTGTTTTTAGAAGTATTTTGCATTCAGATTTAGTAGAATTTTCTATTTTGAAAAGTAGTGAACATCATAGACTGCTCTGACTGCTTCTTTCCCCTTGAAATCAGTTTCCCCACATACTCCCTAACTCAGAAGTGGGCAATGTCTGCCCTATGGGCCCTGTAAGGACCCCAAAATAATTAATACCAACGAACATCACAGGCTCCACCAAAGACCAGCAGTCCCAGCCATTACATTGTTGTTGTTAGGAGGTGGGTTAATTTCATACTTGATATGTAACAGGCTGATCAGTTAAAGTCGACAATTTTATATGGCCCACAATGATGTATAAATACTCAAATAGCCCTTGTCAGAAAAAAGGTTTCCCCACCCGTACCCTAACAGATTGCTTGGTGATGAGACCAAGGATCTTTTCAGTGTTTTTCAAATTATAACTCAGAAAGCGAGTTTCTTTGGGTTGTCAGAGGTATTATGACACACTTGTCCGAACATGCAGAGGAAGCTAGTCTGCAGTAAGATAAATCAACCTCTGGAGAGACACACGATTCATATTTTGTAACGAAAGTTCTAGAGGCATTTTAACGTTTGATTCCAGATGCTCCTGCTACTCAAATCCAGTAGTATGTTGATTTATATTTAACAATTGCCTGGGGTCCTCATTCATAGTGCTTACTGTTTCTTGCTATAAACAATCTTCCCATGGCCAATCTCAAGATACCAAAGTAACACCACTGAATACAGAACTGGGAAGAGAGGTGCACAATCAACTTTTATAAATATTACAGGCAGCTCCAGCATATTTGACCAACATCCCTACCTTTTATAGTTGTTATTCAAGCCTTTCTTGGAATTCTAAGAACCGATACAATCCCATTTTTGCCTAAGTAAGGTTATTTCTATTAACATATATATGAGATTTGTATATTGCGTCACCAGTATTTTTCCATGAAGAAAAAAAACATCATTATAGTTGTTTTTTTAAAAGAAGCACACTGTACATAGTTACATAGCCCATAACAACAAATCCAATCAACACTGTGCCATTAAATCCTCCATAAATGCAGTTCTCTTCCCCCGCCCCCGGTCCCCACCCCTTACCTCTCTCCTCACTATCCTATTACTCTCCTCTCCCTGTCCTTGGCCCTGGCCCCAGCTCCTATGGTCATCAAAGTCTTGTCTTTCGGCGTATAAACCACATTTCTTTGTTTTTCCTTATGACAATGATGTTATTCAATATTTATCTTTGTAGGATGGTAAGATAGACTTTGCTAAGCAATAATATTCTCTAGTTTTGTTCATGTCATGTGATGTTTAAGAGAGGTGTCATTGGATTTTATTGATGTATGATATTCCATTGTGTGACTATACCAGAGTTTGTGTATCCATTCCTCTATAATTGGAGTTTTTGGTTATTTACATGGTTTTTGTATTAGGAAAATAGCGACAATAAATTTGGGGTGCGTATGTCTGTTTGTGTTGTACTTTGTTTCTTTAGGGTATATACCCAGTAGAGAGATTGCTAGGTCATAAGGTAATTGTATCTGCATTTGTTTAAGGAAGTGCCATACTTCTTCCTAGTCTGTTCTTATTCTTCAAGCTCTGTGGAAACCTATTTACCATGGATGGCCCTGTTGGCATTTGCTTTACTGGTGGCAGAAAGAAACTGACCAATGAAGGGTGGTACAAATAGTATGTTACTGAGGGGAAAATGCTAAGGAGGTAAAAAAAGAACCTCAGAGCACTGTAAGAAAATCAGGAAACAGTAGGATGAGAAAAATTTAATAGCAATTTTAATAAGATGCTTAGAAAATGTTTTATTGAGACGCTAAAGATTTGTCAGAAGTATGCATATTTGACAGATGATCCCCCAGAGAAAGAACTGACTACACAAAAGAAGCAGCTGAAAAAAGACCTAGGGTAGCCGATGCAAGGTGACTCTAGAAATCACGAAAAGCTCCGTGCGGATGGAGTAGCTGGGGAACAACAGCAGGAAATGAGGTAGGCAAGGTCACTAGGAAGTCAGATCGTGCAGAGACCTCATAAGCACTCTGGCTCTTACTCCGACCAGTTTGTGGAGTCAGTGATTTGTTTTCTGGGAAAAGAATGGCATGACCTAATTTACGGATTAAAAGTATCACCGATGAAGTTTATTTTTGGCTAAGTATCTGGAACTCGTCTGTTCAGCTTACTTGAGTAACTGGAACTCGGCTGTTCAGCTCTCTGCTAAACAACGAGAAAACTAGATGGAATATATGAAACAACTCTTCTGCAACGTTAGACAACAGGTAAAGGACTATAATCACTGAGCGAAGAGTCATCTCTATTAAGTCTCTTTCAGGATGGGGATGTGCATTGTGGTACAGGAAGCAGAAACAGTGATCTCAGTTAACTGGACAGATTAAAACACGGGGAATCTAAAGAGACTCTAATTTGGAGGGCAGAGTGTGGCAAAAACAAACGAACAAAACCCACTGCTGTTAAATCTATTCCAACTCATGTGACCATAGAGAACAAAGTAAAACTGTCTAATAGGGTTTCCACGGCTATAATTTTTATAGAAGCAAACTGCCACATTGTTCCTCTACAGAGTGGTGAGTGGATTCGAATTGCCAACTTTTCTGAGCAGTAAGCTCTCTAAGCACTGTGCGGCCAGGGCCCTTTAAGGCAGAAGAGGAATTAAAATGGAGTCCTAGAAATTTACTAGGGTCATATTGAGAATGTCTGAATACTAATCTGTACTTGAGTAGAGTCCTACTCAATGAAGACTTAGATAAAGAAAAATGACCAGGATCTCGAAACTGAAAAATTCTCATGCTCTGACAGGGCTGAGAGACATGCAATTTTTCCCCTCCCTCCCCAACCCTCACCCTTGTGGACCCTTGATAATGCATAAATTATTTTTATTTTCATATCACACACCATCTGCTGTCTCCCTTCACCCACGTTTCTGTTCTTCATCCTCCTGGGGCGGGGAAGGGGTGGAGTGGGGTGTAAATTGATCGTTGTGGTCGGTTCCTCCTTTCTCCTCCCATCTCACCCCCTGCCCCCATGGTACTGTTACTCTCACTGTTGGTGCTGAGGAGTTTATTTGTCCTGGATTCTGTGTGTCGAGAGCGTTTATCTGTATGTGTGTACATGCTCTGGTCTAACTGGATTTGTAAGGTAGAATTGGGGTCATGAAATTAAGGGGGAGGAAGCATTAGAAAACTAGAGGAATGTTGGGTGTTCCATTTCAGTGCTATACTGCACTCTGGTAGGACCCTCGATGGTAGTAGAGTGGCTGTAGTCCACCGCTAGCCAAGAGGCGGTGGTCTGGGTCCACCAGTGCCCTGTGGGGAAAGCTATGCAGCCCACTTCTGGGAAGCCGTGGGGGCTCGGAAACCCTGCAGCGCTCTTCCACTCTGTCCTGCGGGTGTGTGGGCCAGCAAGGACTCCGTGGCAACAGGTCTGGTTTTCGGCTTATTCCCGATGCCGCCTCTTGGTCTTCAAAGCTAGAAACGGAGCTCGCCACAAAGTCCACCAGTCCTTGCTATAAATCCCAGAGAAGCCACTTATAACTTATTGTTAGAAACCAATAAAAGATATAATAATAAAAATGCACACTTAATCCAAAAGTAGAAAAACCCCAACAAAAAAATAAACAGATGTAACAAATAAAAAACTAGGTGACAAAGTAAGCCTAACCATGTCAATAATCACAAATGGCTTAAAAACCCCAATTCAAAGGCAAAAGCTATCCCATTGGATAAAAAAGTAAGATCCAACAATATAAAGCCCCTAAGACACTCACTTTCTTTTTCTTTTAATTAAAAAAATGCTTAAAACATAAGAGACAAAAAAGGAACCTACCTCATAATTAAAGGAATAATTGAAAAAGACAGAATCATATTAAACATATATAACCCCAATGAAAGATCTATTAAATACATTGATCACACTCTTACAGAGGCAAAAAGAGAAACAGACAGTTCAGTAGTAACAGCTGTTATTGTCAGACAACAAAGGAAACAGTGCCCATTCCTGCACTATTGTTCCTGTGC